AAATTTTTTAAAGGTTCTCCACAGAACCATCAATGCTTTATTTTTTAGCGTGCACCTCCTCTCTCTGTGTGTCTCCTCACAGTCGGCCGCGTTCCCTACCGTTCACCTCTGTGAGAGAGCTATATTTAGTTCAGCCCACAGAACATGTCCAGGAGCCCCTAACAACAGCTCTCAGCTGAGAATCTGTGCCATGCGGGAGAGCAGGATTCCTTCAGTCCAAACCAAACCTCATTAACATGAGGACCGAGTCATCAGCGCGACCCTCAGTCATGCTAACACGGAGATTAATCTCATGAAGTTTAGCCTACTTTTAACAACCAAAATAAATAGTTTAAGATAAGGTTAATTATAAAACCTTTTTAAAACAGTTTTTTACGGAGTGTTTTTTCTTCTTTCAAGCCTCTCAGCCAAGCCCTCAATGACGATATATTTATTTAACAAAGAGAATTAAAAGTGCATTGCAGCAACATGTCTCTCTCAGACGCACAGATGAACCAGTCAGGGCACGACCACTGGCACACGGAGACTGGCAAAGGAAAGTGTCTGTGTTTTGTTTGGAATAATTTATCATGCAGGTAATTTATTGCCAATTTATTGCTAACAAGGTAAGAGAGTAGGGCTGGGCGATTTTTCTGATTTTATCGATTAATTCGAATTTAATGTTTTGCAGCAATTAGAGTTTTTAGAAATCGAGAAATCGCGATTTTGAATAGCATTAGCAATATTACCAAACGTTAAAATTAGACACTTTGACAATATGCCAATGATAACAATAAAAAGAAAACTTAATATAAATATAAAATATACAAATATAAATATTTTCTAACAACATAAATCTTTGCTATCACTTCTTATCAATTTAACACATCCTTGCTGAATAAAAGTTTTAATTTCTTTCAAAAAAAGAAAGAATAAAAATGTACTGACCCCAAACTTTTGAATGGTAGTGTAGGCTATATTGTTAGAAAATATTTCCATTTTAAATAAATGCTCTTCTTTTTAACTTTTTATTCATCAAAGAATCCTGAAAAAAAGTATCACAGGTTCCAAAAAAATATTAAGCAGCACAACAGTTTCCAGCACTGATAATAAATCAGCATATGATAATGATTTCTGAAGGATCATGTGACACTGAAGACTGGAGTAATGATGCTGAAAATTCAGCTTTGCATCACAGGAATACATTTGATTTTAATGTATATTAAAATATAAAAAAGTTATTTTACATCATAATAATATTTCACAATATAAAATTTTTTCCTGTATTTTTGATCAAATAAATGCAGCCTTGATGAGCATAAGAAACTCCTGTAAAAAAACATAAAAAATCGTTCTGATCCCAAACTTTTGAACGGTAGTGTATATATTAGGGCTGCACAATAAATCACATGCAATTATCATGCGCATCTCGTCAGTAAAGCCACTTCTGTGATTAGTAGTAAATCTCCCTCACGTGGTTTCAGATGGAGCGGCATTTAATACACAGAGCCGTAGTTCACTGACAAACTACGCAATATCGCGTTCATAATCGAATGCGATTCATCTTACTAAACTTACTAAAAAATAAAAAATAATAAAAATTCAACTACCAATACTGACATTGGAACGATAATTTAAAAAAATTATAATTAAATAAAAATAACTGGCCAGTAAAGAACCACTTAGAAACCACCCTAGTAACAATACAGCAATGCCCTAATAACCACCACAACACCCTTCACTTCTGCACTAATCAAGTTTATACTTACATTTTGGCATTTTGCACTGCAAATATTGTTGGCTGTTATGATAAACAGATTTTTCCCATTTGTAAGTCACTTTGGATAAAAGCACAACACAAACGTAGCATCACGGCAACACGTTTCGCACAGGCAAGTGGCACTCAAATTGTATACAGAAAAATCTGCTTATAAATCAGAACGTTTCCATAACATTAAACCCTTCATCTCAGAAGTGTTCTAATCAGATGTTGTGCATTTCCTGTTTTAAGAGTTTCGATATCAACATGACACACCGTTCACACGAGAAACAGTTACTGTTCTCACCTGATCTCTGTTTCATCTGTCGCATGTCACGTTGTGTTTATGAATCTGCCCATTAAATAACACACAAACCGCATCCTTCTCACAAAGCAGATCACTGATTCATACATTTCCCAAGGTACAGAGGCTTGTTTTACACTCCGTTCACCCTCCCAAATCAAGAAACGCATGCTTTGGATATCAAACACCCCTCACAGCTTTGACATTCAGAGCCTTGTGAAGGACACAAGAGAAACCATAATGAAGGTGATGGATTTAATGAAGATTAAAACTCCATTTGAACTGGTATTCAGGCAAAAATAAAGGCGGTTTTGAGAGATTACGGCCGCAGCCTTAAAGGCGTCCATGTCAGCGGGAAGGTCATTAATATAAATGAAGCATCGCGACTCTGTCGGGGTGCAGAGGGTTTGCACCTGAGCACATGCTTCGTGACCAGACATTGA